TCCAAGCAGCTGGCCAGGCCTTTCCTCTTAGCCCACCTTAGTCTGGATGCTCCGTTGAAATCTGCTCAGCATAAAAGCCACATGGCAGCCTTCATGGACAGTGTTGGCTGGGCATAAGGTGCACTCACCTATTCTTATAATTCCCTTATTTTTTGTGCTCCACACGTCCTCCTTTCTTCATTTCCTTCCTTCTCTGGCCCGGGTAAGATGCTTAATAACTCTAACTGCACTCTGGTCATCAGTTCAATTGCTCTGCTACCACGGCACCTGTCCATAAACCCTTCACCAGCTCCCACCACCAGTTGCTTCCTGCTCTTCCTCCAGGGCTGCTGAGGGCAGCTGGGGAGACACTGCCATCCCTCTGTCAGTGCCACCGCAGTCCCTGCTTCGGCCTTTCCTAGAAGCTCCTCTCTACCGTCCTTCAAGTAGCTCCCTGAATGTTTTGTGCTTTTTAGTCCCTCTGTCTAAGATGTTCTCTTCTTCCTCGGCTGGAAAAATGATTCTGCTCTGAATGTTGGCATGGTGCCCTCCCCACACCCACACCCCTACCCCTCCAACCCCAGGGCGTGCTCAGTGGTCTCTCCACATGTCCTGCTGCACATGCACTGAGTTCATTCTGCATCGTGTCACACTGAACTGTGACCAGCACCAGCCAGAGAACAAAGGCCGAATGAAACCGTGACTTGAATGTGATTTTATTAACATTAATGTTATGGAGGGGTGCAGGAAATGGAATAAGGTCATATGCAAAGACTTTCTGATTAGCTGCTTTTAATCAAATGATGGAACTGTGTCAAATTATTCTAGAGCTGGGCCTTTCAAGTAGTGATTTGTGACCCATAATGGGAGACAAAATCAATACAGTGGGCCATGACTAACTTTTTAAAAAAGTATGAGCTAGAATAAGAGAGAATGGAAGCAAAAAGAATATACCAGCACACACTGTATTCTTGAAGGTAGTAAGGCAAACAGTTAACGTGTTGAGCTGTCAACTGGAAGGTTGATGGTTTGAGTCCACCCCAATATACCTCAGAAGAAAGGCGTGGCAAGAGACTTCCAAAACTCAGGCACTGGGAATCCTACAACACAGTTCTACTCCGCACACATAGGGTCACCCTGAATCAGAACCAATTTCACAGCCACTTTATTGAAAATACAGATTATTCCCCCTCCATGGCATTTTTTGTTTCAGCTCTATGTAAACTAGGCAGGTGATCATGCAAAATGTATCACTTGCTATGCATTACAGTCATGGATGTCTAAAATCACTAAACAAGGTACTTCCTGGCTGATTTATTGGCAGAGCAGACATACAAAGAGTGACACTCCTTTAGACCAACACATGATCATCTCAATATGAAAGTTTATCATTTTCCAATTTCACTAACTTTGCAGAAATATCTTGCAAAACCATTTTCATTTTACATTATCACAAGTACCGTGAAGGGTACATATTTCACTCCAACTGTGTTGAGATTTAATATCTATGTAGAAGTGTACAGATCTCCAGGGTTACTCCATGGATGGGGCCCCTTTCTCCAGCCAGCCCTGGGAGCTCTCAGAGTGGCCAGACCATGCTGCCTTAGCTCTTTGTGCTCGTCGAGCTTGGAACACATTAGGTACTCCATAAATGTTAACTTTTAGCTTGAATTATATGTGGAATGATTTCACCACTTTTAGAAATCAGGGCCTCCAACTTCCTAACTGATATTACATGTTCTATCTGACAGCACCTAGCAATAACAACAATATCCAGCCATTCACACAACCATCTGTAGTGACACTGGGGTGCATGAGATACATTGCGATTCGTTCTACTCCTGCAATAAGAAAAATAATCTCAAAAGTATAGAACCATGGGGTTGGTAGAAGACCTTCAACCAAGTGACTGACACAGTAACTACAATAATGGGCTTGAGTACATCAGAGATTGCAAGGATGGAACAGGATAGGACAGGATTCAGATCTAGCGAGTTGCTATAACAGCACTTAACAACAACAAACAACAACTGCTTTCTAGGAAGGTGTTTACTTTTGTATTATATTTTTGTATGAGTTCTGAATTTATCTTAACTGGGGCCTCTTCACAGATTTAGGTAAGTTACATTTTCCTTAAAATAGAAACAAGAGACAGCATTTAAAACGTTGTGTGTACCAACAGGCATAGACTCGGTTGAGGACTGAGAAGGACTCTGAGGTCACCAACTAAGAATGGCAGGAATGATGGCAAATAACTGACTGGGATTTACTTGCTATAGGCTTAAAAGGAAATAATGAGGGGCATTTACCTTAAACAGGATCCTGTCATCCTGAAGGATGTAAGGAGATTTTTCTTTTCTCATATACTAGCTTTATAAGAACTGTTTTTTTCCATTATATAAATAAGTAATACGTATCAATATGCATTTCAAGTTTTTAACACATTAGAAAATATATGCAGTCATAGTGAGCTACAGGGAGCTGTCACCGACAGGTCGTCAACGACAGTAGCTCAACTGTTCGGAACGGCTCAGTTTCTCCAGTTCTGAGTTTTCTGCCTTTGACAAATGGAATTTACCATGTTCCTTTCATTCTCTTTTGTTGCTGTTGCTGTGTACAGTTCAGGCGGAATCAACCCAAAGCTGACCCTCCAGTGGCAGTAAATTACACAGGAAGAGATTGCTCATTTTTCTCCTTTGGAGCAGCGGGGGGATTAGAACTAGGTAGAAAGGATTAAACTAGGCTGCTCCTTGGAGGCAAGGATTCTGGGGCTTTGTCTGACATACTTTGGACATGTTGTAAGGGGAAACAGGTCTTTAAGAGGGACATCATGCTGGGTAGAGTGGAGGGACAGCACAGGAGGGGAAGACCCTCTATGAGGTGGATTGATTCAGTGACTGGGGTAATCGGGATGGGTGTGTCAGAGGCAATGAGATTGGCACAGGATAGAGCACAGTTTAGGGCTGTTGTACATAGGGTCACTATGAGTCGCAAACGACTCGACGGCACATAACAACAACCTTCAGGATTGCAGTGAAGCTTCTTACCCATAGGCCACCAGAGCTCCCTACTGGCGGAACTTATTTTCTGACAGGTTTTTGTCTTACAGGTTCCTACCTTTTGAGGTTTTTATTGTATCCCCTCATTGTTCTTGTTTACTGTTGAGTTGGAACAGTCTCACAGCTGACCTTCCAGCGGGTTTTCAGAGGAGTAAACTGCACAGCAGGAGATTGCTCATCTTTCTCCTTTATAGCAGGTGATGGCCTCGAACCACGTGCCTTTGGGACTGCACTGCAGCTTCTTACCACTAGGCCTCTCACCTCTTACCACAGCTCCTCTTACCTCATCACTGTTAATGTGTAGGTGTCTAGTTTTCCAGGTCTATGTATACCTGAGAACTATTTGATATCTATTACATTATTGCTCACTCACTGCCTTGGATTCAATGCTGACTCTTAGTGATCGATACTCCTCTGTTGGGTTTCCAAGGCTGCATACTGCAACGGGAAGAGGCTTCCCATCTTCCCCCTCCCCATCCCCTAGAGATGCTGGTGGATTCAAACCAATGGAGACACACTACAGACTGTGCCACCAGGGCTCCCTTTGTACATTATCAAGTTCAAACTCATTACTCTTGAGTCAGAGCCAACACACAGCTGTCTTGACACTGGCTGCTGAAGTTGTAAGTCCCAGGAGAGCGGACTGCCTATCATTCTCCCTCAGAGTTTCCATTATACTTTTTTTTTACTTCTCCACATATTATACACTCCTTTCCAAGTCCATAAACATTTTTTCTTTAATGATTTTGAAAATGACATAAAATCTACTGAGATCATATACTATAATTTATTTAAGTAACTCTAAGCGGTTGGACATTTGAGTTGTTGCCAACTTTTCACTTTTATAAGCATTGCTACAAACATTTTTTGTAGCGAAGTCTACGTGCTCATCTACACTTACATAACTGGAGGGAGGGATTTTGACTCTGAAAACATGTTGCTGTTAAGTGCTGGAGGGTCATAGACGATTCATAGCAACTCTATGAACAAAAGACCTGAACACTTGAATAACTTTGGTCGTTTCTCCATGTTCATAGAGTTTCCAGAAGCAAGCTATTTCAGTAGTGGATGCTACTCCTTCTTCTAAGCTTGTTTTAGTCAGGAAGCTCCACCAAACACTGCCCACCATGGGTGACCATTATCACATTTGACACACCAGTGCCACAGTATGGGACCACAGTTCTTTTCCATTGCATATTAACTTGGAGTTTAAAGTCCACTAAAAAGTCATAACCACTTCCCTATTATTCAAGAATGAGGGTGGGGAGCACAGTTATGCTATCTTGGCCTTGGACTTGACAAATGGATGCTGAAAATTCAACAGTGGCCCAGGGAGAAGGGTAGAGGGTGCTGAGTGCCCCTGCCAGTTCACACAGCCCTGGGTGAGGAATTCACCATTCACCTCTCTCCTACTGTAACAACAGCGGAGCTAGACTTCATACCCTCCATCCATACGAAACCTCTGAAAGTGACCCTATAGTACGTGGGCCACATTTGTCTAATCCCAGAAAACCAAGGTAAAGAAACGAAATCAGTTTGGAAGAACTGAAAGGACAGAAAGTGTTTCCATTTGTGAGGCTGTGTGAGAATGCCGCTCTCTCTCCCAGCTGGCAGCCCCATAAATGAAGCATTTCACAAGCTGTTCACGGGTGGCATAATGAGGGTGCCAAATTACACTACTACTTCTTTCCCCTTTCAGTGCCATCATTTTTCCTCTTTATGCCACTGTGAATTGAAAGGATAAGAGAAAACACTCCAATAGCCCAACTTTAGGAGTGCCTGCATTTAGCTCTAACGTGGAGCCGTATGTGCAGATGGACAAGCTTCTCTGACTTACCATCACTGGAAATCAAAGGGGGGAAAAGGGAAATGAACCCGAGAAATGGGAAGGTTGTACTGATATGTACTCACCTGCTAATATGCATCCAACTCATTACTGAGGAATTAGGAGACAATACGTACCCAACAAACGAAGGAGGAGAAACAGAACTCCCAGGGCGTATGACTTGAGTTCAGGGCTGACTGTCCTACGTGCAAAGAGATAAAGAGGGAGAGAGAGATTCTTATCGCCCTCCTTTACCTAAGCGACCCGGAGCCAACCCCGGCTCCATCAGAGCCCTGTTCTACCACATGCCCAAAAGTCTTCTGGTTTGTTTCCCTGCCTAAAGCCTGAAAATCACCTGCAACTGCTGACAAGATGAGTTTAGGAGTAAAACACAGTCTTAAGGACTGCAGTTAATAATTTCTAGCTTTTTCTTTTGCTTTATGTGTAAGTTTACAGAGCAAAACAGTTGCCACTCCAGAGCTCACACATAAACCATATTGTGACACTGGCTGCAGTCTGTAGAATGGGCTGGCATTTGCTCCGGCTCATTGTGGAGTTTCCATCGGTATATTCTACCCATTCCTGCCCTGCTATTGTTGCTTTTCGGTAAATAGTGCCGCTTTGATCTTGTAGAATTGAGAACTTCATAGTACAGAGAGCAGACTGTTTATTTTATGCGTCTGTCTCTTGTCTGGTTAAAAGGTGGTCTTAGGACTGACTTCAGTCCCAAGTCAGAAAGGAGTCTAAAGATCTAAAGTAAAGGGTTCTTATAGTTTCTATCAGATTAATAAGTCTGGGGTGCTTGTTTTTAGGGTGTGTGTGAATATGGACTTTAATTCTGTGTTTTCCTCCCACTTTACCGGGTACCCTCTGCTGTGGTTCTGGTCAGCGTGGTGGATAGCGAGCCATCTCTTTCTTCTGGTTTCACAGTCATATATAACTGGAACTAATTTTCATAAGGACAAGCAAATTTGGTCAACAAAGTCTTCATTTAAAGACATTCCAGTTTCGTTTGGACAGGGAAGCATCTTAAATTGGCTGGACTCAAATACTGGGGAGGAAAAATCAACTGACAAACCCATTAACCTCACACTTTCTTGGAAAGAGGGTGGGTCTTTAACATGTTTGTTATCCCTATATTACACGTGAAATTAACCATTCCAGGATGGTGTGACAGTCTGGATGGACCATCTGTAAAACAATCCTTTAATCTGCTTTACATTTCAGTACATCTTAAATAGGAAGATAACTTCACATAATCTCTGTCCGTTACTCTGGATTGAAATAAATTTGATTTATTACTCTACGGCAGTATTTTAGAATGACCTTGGGCACATAAGCACATTTTCAGGGTATACTGCTTTCTGGGATTCTCAGGAACTACGCTATGCTACCGTGTTGGCCTACCACTGCTATTATTGCTATTGGGTGTTAGGGATTTAAAATCAAAGTCATAAGCACCTGAAGTTGAAATGAGAGAGGAGGTCATTGCCTGGATACTAGTGGGTGGTTGGCAGGAATGATAATTTAAACCACCGCAAATACTGAAACCCTGTTGGAATAATTTTTTGACAGAATTAATTGCTAAGCGTCTCTTTACTCACCTAGTTTTTAGTAGTTTGATTAGTAACGACAACCAGCTCCAGCAAATGGGTCCACGTAGCTTGGTGACATGACATCTCATTTGCAAAGCTTCTTATATTTGTAACCGTAAAAACCCCACCTCATTGTCCTGGAGTTGGAACTGACACACAGCTGACCATCTAGCAGCTTTTTTGGTGGCTATAAATCGGACAGAAGGAGACTTTCTCCCGCGGAATCCAGTCACTGGTAGATTCAAATCAACAGAGAGGCACCAGCTTTGGGTTAGCTGTGTAATTCTCTGGGCCGCCAGTGTTCTTGCTGTATTTGGAATTGTTATTGTGTACAGTCGAGTTGGGACTGCTCCATGGCTGAACTTCCAGTGGGTTTTCAGAGGTAGTAAGTCCCACTGGAGGAGACTGAGTATTTCTCCTGTGGAACAGCTGGCGGATTCGAACTGTGGGCCTTTGAGTTGGCAGCACACCTTCTTATCACTATTATTTCTATCTTTCTAGACATTGTACCCTCAAAACCTAGCATGGGTTTGGCACAGAGCACATACTGAGTAAAGATAAAAAGGAACGGGTAGGTGGACAGAGCCTCCTCTGGTTTGATCACGAAAGAGCATGAAGAAGGAGGCTGTTCCAGATGCCACAGGCAGTGAGCCAGCCTCCCTCACAACTGACCCTGACCCAACCTCCATCAGAAGTCCCTAGGGTAGAAGCAAAGGTATGCACACACAAAATAGACTCGTGAGAGCATGTTCCTGAGAACAGGACCTGGAGACAGTCTCTGTGTGAGTAAGCCTTTAGATGCAACCAGGGACATTTGAAGAAGGTTCCAAGATTAAAAAGACTCAGGTGATACCAGGAGGGCCCACCTGACTATGTCTGACACCTGTATGATATACAGCTGGGACGGCCAGACAAAAACACCCTCCTCAGAATGTCTGTGCTACACAATCCACATTCTTCAAAGTCATCAGTGGCTCCTTGGTTTTATTTTTCATATGTTCGTTTGAAGGTACTGACTTGAAAGACACATGAATAAAGGCAAAGTTTCCTTATTAAAAAAAAGCACACTGGCATAATGAGCTAGAATATTTATCACCTGAAATTTGATTTCTTTTTAGCTATCATGTCAAAAGGAACACAGTGAGGCAGATGCTGAGATTTATCTTCATTTTCAGTTGGAGAGGTAGTTTCAAGAGAAAGAAGAATCCTTCTCGGATCTAGTTACACAAAAGTGGAGGGCACAGGTCTGCATGTTATTCCAAGTTTTGGCCAAGTTCAGGGCATTGTTAGCTCCATAATTCACTAGATCTTGAGCCCACTGCTTAATCTCTTTCTGAGCCTCAATTCCTTATCTCGAAAAGGAGAATTAACTTAAGCTCAAACTCAGTGCCATAGAGTTCCTTCTATCAGCGAGAGTGATTCTAATAGTGACTCTAACAGTGACTGTTGTTGTTGATTGCTGTTGCGACCCTATGAACAAAAGGCCTGAAGCCTTTCTATAACTACCGTCATTTATCAAAGTTCATAGAGTTTGCAGAGGCATGTGGCTTAGGAAGTGGATGCTGATTCTAATAGATGTGGCAGTCTTCTGGGGTTTCTGAGGCTGTCGTTATCAGCCCATCTTTGTCTTATGGATTCACTGGTGGTGTCAAGGCACCTGAGATAAACAGCATGTGAGTTACCAGGGAATCAGTAAAGGAACAATGCCACCTGGGTGCCTTTGGGGGAACATCACTCACAAAAATGTCAACACAATAAGAGCTCAGTTGTTGTTGTGTGCTGTCAAGTCAGAGCTGACTCATCGCTGCCCCTCCAGGGGGTTTTCAGAGGCTGTAAACGTCATGGGAGGAGACTTCCTTCTGTAGAGCAGCTGGTGGATTCAAACAGTGTGTCTTTGGGATTTCAGTGCAGCAACACTAACAAAAAAAAGTATAAACACAGTAGGTCTGTCCTGACCCTTAATAAGAGCCTGGTTAACCTCAGCTTTTATCTTCGCTTGTGGACGTTCTGAGCACTGTTATTAGCAGTTACGCCCCCACTGAGCCTGAGAGTGAGGCACTGGTGGTTCAACCTTAATTCTCAATTTCCACACGGGAGATGGGATTAGATTCCCAACCAGCGCACTGCATGTGCAGCCTCTATCTGTCCATCAGTGAGGGCTGGCTTGTTGCTATGATGTTAGGCAGGTTTCACTGGAGCTTTGAGACTGGGATGGACGAGGAAGACAGGCTGGGTGGTCCACTTCTGAAAATGGGCCAATGAAAACCCCACAGATCCAAGGGGTGGGATCCACGAGCAATCATGGGGTTGGCGTGGAGTCACCAGAGTTGGGGCTGAACTGACAGACCCTAACAATCACAGCCTGAGAGGCATGTATCGCACCCAGCACTGGGTGAGTGCTGGAACCATCTAGACTCTTCTATCCACCTGTGATGTCTGTAGTGGCAAACGGGACTGGAAGGAGACTGGACATGGTACAGCTTATCCCCTTGCACATCTGCGAGCATCTGTCTTCAGCAGGCTGGCCTGCAGAGTGCAGTTACAATCTGATTCAGAGGACCCCTGAGAGCCCTGCTGGCCTAGTGGGGAAGGAATTACACTGCCAAGCCAAAGTCAGGCAGTTCAAATCTATCTGCTGCTCCATGGGCTCCACTGGGGAAAAGAGGGGTAATCTCCTCCTGGGCAATTTAGAGCTTCTGAAAACCCACTGGAGGGGTCAGTTATGAGTAAGTTCTTACTTGATGACAATGAGTGAGTAAGAGTGGCAGAGTTATTACACGCTGGGTTGGAATCAACTTGATCACAATGGGTATGGGTTGGATAATGATGCACTTAGAGGCATCCAGCATATCCTGGTTTGTCAAGCAGAGATGTGGGAGGGATTAAGATCCTCATACACTTGCAGTGTTTGGTCTGCCAGTCATAAGTGCTGAGACTGTGTCTTTGTAGGAATGTGATGGGGGAGAGGACCTTTGCCAGTGGTGCTGAGGGGCAGTTTCCCTGCTTTGTGGTGCCTTTTGTGGAGAGTATCACAATACAACTTCAGATGAATTTCTAATAAGAAAAATAAACTACCCATAATGCAGCCACCCGGAACCCCACCTACAACCTGATGGGTTTTGTCCATATGCACGTTATACATAATCAGCCTGCAGGTATAGTTTTGGATTCAATAGCTCATTTCATAAACATCTTTCACTTTCTTAAGAGTTTTTCACTGTTCCACTGAAGTGCAGTATGATAATTTAACTCATATTCCAATTCTGTCTTTCTTGCATTATAGTTAGCATTGTAATAAAAATCTGTCTATGCTGAGCTTATTTTTTTTTGTTTTTGTAGAGAAGTATTTTTCTTAAGATAAATGGCAAGGGATAGGGCTATTGCATAAAAGGGTTTGAACATTTTTATGGCTCCTGATTCGTAATATCACACTGGGTGGGGTGGGTTTTTTCTTTTTCTTAAAAGAGTAATACGATTTTGAATGTCACCAGCAAAATGTGACTTTACCAGTTTTACCACAACTTGGGAAGCATTAAATGTGGATTTTTAAAACTTGTTTTGTAGATACAGTCTCAAATGTAGCAAGTATGAAATTGCAAACTGGTATTATACCCTTAACGCTTTTGCACATTAACAGGGCCGTGTTCATGATACTCAAGTATTATAAATTCTTTTGCAAATCTTTGAGGGACTTCATCACAAAGACCAAGAAACGCTGTCTGCTAGAAGAGAGCAAGAGAGAAGCAGGCCGAAGCAGGTAGAGATGAACTATTACACAGGGCACTTCTAAGCCCTTTTTACCTAGTTTCATATCCAGCCTTTGGAATTACACTGGGTTATTTAGACAACTACCTGAAACCCAATACATCCGATCATTGTGTAGTGTTGATTCCTCTTGTTCAGATCGCTGCTCATTTCATTTCTAGGCTTCCTACACTGGTAACTTTGAGAATGCTAAAATAATAATGTCACTCAGAAGTCGCCTGTGAAACATTTCTCCTGCCCCAGGCCAGGTCCTGAGGCGCAGAATCGTGGAGTAACAGTGGGCTTTCCTCCCACCGCCTGTGCCCTTCTCTGTGCCCCTCTCATCTGTCTCGGGTTTGCACACACATAGGGTGTAACCTGGCTCTACACTTCTCCAGGAGCAGGCTGATGCCACAGTCATCTCCACTTACAGATTTAGAGACAAGTCCAAGGGGAACAGACCTGCCACAGGGCTGTGACCTTGTAACCAAGTGACAGGGCTGGCAGGCCTGGGCAAGAAGACTTTAAACTGCTAGGCTAAAGCACGCAGAGAGTCTACTTCTGGGAGGAAAGGGAAATGGTGTCTTCTCCCGAGCACCCTGCTCTCTATTCTTTGTACAAAGTCCCAGAAGATCCTGGAAGATTCCATTTGTTAGAGCAGAACTCCAGAGGGTTTGTGATGGCTCTGATTTTGGGGAAGGAGAGCACTCATCAGGGGGTTCTGGTGGTTTAGTGGTAAGGAATCAAGCTGCCAACCCAAACGTATGAGGTTTGAATCCACCAGTTATTCTGAGGGATAAAGAAGGGAAATCTCATCTCGTGCAATTTACCATCTCTGATAACCTGCTAAAAGGTCAGCTATGGGTCGGTTCCCACCCAATGGTACAGAAAACACAAGACTGGTCTTCAGGTCTTTCTTTCAAGGAGCCTTTGGATGGGCTCAAACCTCTAACCTTTTAGCTACCAGCTGAGCAGTGTTAACTCTTCGCTCCCATCACCTAGGGCAGCTGGCTTTCTTGCTGCACCCCTGTCCCACCTGGCTGGTACTCAGTCTCTGAGACTGTGTTCTTGAGCAGAAATGCAGACACCTCCTGGCAGACAGAGGTACAACAGGCTGGCTACCTGTTCCCAGGGCGCGGAGTGCTTACCTGATGAGGATGATGACGGAGGGCGTCTGCGCCATGGCGCCGATCATGCTGCAGACGCACATCACACACAGGAAGGTGAGGAAGGCCTCCTGGCATCCAGGGCTGGGGCATTTCCCAGGCACCACGGTCGCATTCTCAGGGGGCACGGTGGTGAGGCATACACAGCCAGTGAGATTCTGGAAAAAAAAAAGCATCCAGCCTTCTGAACTGGGGGCATCTCTAGTCCCCAAATAAAAAAGCTATCCATCAGAGCTTGCTGTCACAGCCCAATTATGCATCCTGGTGCATTCCATTCATTAGGCCTGGATAGACGAATTAGCTTTTTAAAGGAGGCTGTAACACATATGCAAATCAAGGCAAAAGTGCATTTGCCTGTGCATTTCAATTTTCAAGAATCCCTCCCTAATCTGTACCTTAGACCTAAGTGTCCCCCCAAAATACAATGACAGAAGAAAGTGCATTACCACAACATTATAAAACATTGACAAATTAACACTGCAATTGCTTGCAATTTGTCCTTTCTTTTAGGCCTTTATAATGACTCTGAAGTGTACGGAGTAAATCAGGTAACTGCATGTTGCAGCTCTTGTAGCTGGTCCACTCCCTGATGCAGCTCTGAGAACAAAGGGTATGCATGGTCAGTCGTGGAGGGGAAGTTGGGAATGTCCTCCCATGGCTCAGAAACCCAGGAAGGCACAGAGATGATGGCAGGGAGCTGGGCGAGGATGGAGGGGCACCAAGCTAAAGCCCAGAGATCTGCTGATGAATAGATGATCAGAGCCAAGTGTGATCAGTGCCCACATTCCATTTGATCTTCCAGGAGGATCCTGCCCAGCATCTGGGCTCCAGCCAGGCCCTGCTCTCCCACTTGAGGAATTTCTGACGGCTGAGGGAGGAGCAGGGGTTTGATAGAGGCAGTGCGGAGCACCGAGCCAATTAAGGCTCGATAATAATAGTGCAGAGTCCTTTAATGAATACAGAATGAAAACAATCATAAATGATTCATGGCGCCCCTTTCCGGGACTACTCGGCTGTCTGAGCATGCCAGAGCAATGCGTCTGAGGGTCAAACAAACTCCCTCAGCTTTTTCAGTTCTGCCCAGCTCTCTATTCCTCTTTTCTTCCCACCTTTCCTGATGGGGCGCAGAGAAAGGGTATCTTATCCAGCTAAGCTCCAAGGGTGCCTGCAGGGAGTTGAGTCTTTACAGGACCCACAGGTAGCCTTGGCACCCAGTCCTCATACCTTTTATCACACTCAGTGCTGCAGTGGGTCCCTCTGCCCTAAGCCGCCTACACAGAAGGGGCTTTTGTGTCACTGTGTGTCACTGCTGCAATTCCAGCACCTGGAGGCACTGACAGTGGGTGCCTGAAAGGTAATGAAGCCCTGCCCTCAACAGTCCCTCTCTTCCAGACAATTCCGCTTGGAATGCCCGTAAGGCCATGACGGTACAAGACCACCATAACAGGAAGCTCGGGAAAGGTTTACACACTGACAGACTTGGTCCTGGAGGGATAACAGGAATTGGAATGGGGGGAAGGAGAGTAAGAATAAACAGTAAGCCGAGTAAAGGGAAAGGCAGCTTTCAGTGAGGGGTTGATCAGACATTATAATTAATTAATGACGTTAACCAATGGTGATTAATGTCATGAAGTAAAATATCTATGACTATATGAAAAACCAATATGATATAGAAACCTTCAACTCAAATTCTAAAAAAGAAAAAAGATCTTTTCTAGCATTATCATTTATATGTAGCCAACTGGAGGACTTCGGTGACCACGGTGGGATGTGGTGGGAAGTCTTTGTTGCAAATTATGGGTGGGAAGCCCCTTGCTGAGTTCTAGGAGTCAACATTCTGAGTGTGGAGTAAGTGAGGTTACGTCACCATGGGGTCTGCAGCCAAGACAAAGGGGGACATGGCACAGAGAAACGGGGAGGGGCAGTGCACCCCTGGACAAAGGGGTCACCCTGGCCACACGGCCAGGAATGAAGTAAAAATATAAAAAATGGGGACGTCAGCTTGTCAGTGCCAGAGAAAAAAGGCTACGAGTGGATGGGCACCATCCGGAAGTGCTGGGCAAATCTGAACTTATTTATTCAGATTTACCTAACTTGAAAAGAGCCACGACAGAGCCTAGGGATGGGATATACCAGCAGGATCTGAGCACAGGTTTCAATTGGATGAGCCAGACCGCCATGGTGCACACCAAATGCTAGGAGGTCCTACAGCATAGGGGTGGTGGCAGGATAAGCATTCCTGTAGCCCAGGCAGTGAGCGATCTGAGGGAGAACGCAGAGCCAGCAGTTACAAGGGACAAGATGTGAGACATTCTTATTTTGGGACACAGATCTGGCTGGAGGTTGTGCTAAAGAGCTGCGTGTTCTAGGTGAACAAACTGATGAGGCCAGGAAAGCTGAAGCCTTCACTCAGATGAAGGCCAGCAAGCTCTGAGAGCAGCAGAAAGGAAGAGCTGCAGCTCTGGGCATCTAAGCAGGGAACTCTAGAGCCACAAAAGCTCTGAACAGTTGTTGTTAGGTACCATCAAGTTAAGCACAACTTATAGCAACCCTCTGAACAAAAGATCTGAACCCCATTCTGTCCTGTGACATCCTTACTCTTCCTGACACACAAGAGCCCGCTGCAGCAGTCCCTGAGTCAATCCACATAGTTGAGGGTCTTCCTCTCCTTTGCTGACCCTCCAACTTTCTCAGCATCATGTCCTCCAAGGAATAGCCCTTACTAGCAACATGCCCAAAGTATGTGAAGTGAAGCCTCATCGTTCCTGCCTGCAACGAGCACTCCAGCTGCACCCTCTCCAAGACATATCTCTTTGTTCTCCTGGCCGTCCATGGGACGTTCAGTGCTCTTCTCCAACTTGGCAGCTCAAAGGAATCAATTCTTTTTCTGTCATCTTTATTCATTGTCCAGCTCTCAGATGCATAGTAAGTAATCAGAAAGACCATGGCCTGAACCAGATACACTTTAGTCCTCAAACTGACAGTTACTCCTCCAATAATTTGGAGAGGTCCCTAACTGCAGATTTTCCTAGTGCAACGCATCACCTTATTTCCTGACTGCTGGTAACAAAGGTGTTAATTGTGGATCCAAACAAGATGAAGCTGTTGACAGTTTCAATCTCCTCTCCATCCATGATGATGCTACCTATTGGTCTAGCAGTAAGAATCTTTGTGTTCTTGATAGATTGAAATGCAAACCATACTGAATGCTGCATTCCTTGATCTTCTGCAATAAGTGCTTCAAGCCCTCCTCACTTTCAGCAAGCAAGTGTGAAGGACAGAGCTCATCTGAGTGTGAGTAGGATACTCATTTTAATAATGACGATGACAGAGAGCTGGCTTCTCCCTCTGCCCCAGGCTGTATGCAACAGTCCCGTGTGGCCAGTGAAAAGTGGATGGCTCTTCAATGCTGGCCGTGGACTTTCATGGCTTAGGCAGAGTGGATGGAACACCCCACACTGCTCCTCAGGTGGTTCCCAGCATGGCAGCAACTATTTTCAAAATCCCACTAGGCTCCAAAGATGAGTGTGTTTTTCAGTCTGCCATTCCCTGGAAGGTGCAGGCGCCACTATTTCCAGAAGAAGTGAATTCTCTGCTGGGTGCCCTAACATACAGTGGCAGATCTAGTTTTACTGTAAATGAAATCACTGTGATGTCTCGTGCTGAAAAGAACATATCTGACAAGCTTTGGGACCTGAGGTGAAGTACATGACAGAAAGAGACCAGCCTGTAAATTCTGTAAGGACTTCTTCTACAGACAAAACTTCCCAAGACACAAAACAGTGATATATGCATGATCAGGGCCAGAACACTAGACTGTTCCTTAAAAGCAAGGCTGGATGAAGAACTAGAAGGTAAAGGAAAAAGGGGAGTCCCTCATTGAGGCGGGCTGACCCAGTGGCTGTCAGAACAGGCACAGCAAGGATCTTAGGCTGGCACAGGTCTGGGCAGGGCTTCCCTCTGCTGTATCCTGGGTTGCTATGAGTTGGAGCTGACTCAGTGGCACCTAACAACAACAATATGCGTCATACATGTGCACTGTGTATAGATGTTCATCAGCAGGAATTGATGACACAGATTCTAGTAGACCTACACAATGGAGGATTTGAAAAACTCAAACAAACTCAAACTTAACTGCTGTTGAGTCATTCTGACCCATGGCAATTCTCCATCAGGTGTCTGAGGCTGTAAAGCTTCACAGGAGTTGACTGCTCACATGTCTCTTTGGTGAGCAGTGCAACACACAAAGGACCATGTTACAAGGGCTTCCAAAGGGAGACGATGTAGCCACAACAATGTCATGGGAGCATTCATTATGTACCAGCCTAAAAAGATGTACTAGGTGAATGACTACCTCAAAAAATAAAACCAAAGCAAAAGAAGGTACAGAATAGAGCCTTATATATGCAAAATATAATGCGAATTTTATAGAGGGGTGAGTTGGGGTAGAAGGGAGAATATTTACTTTCCTCTTTTCAACTTTTGGAAACACATAAATATATAATCTATTAGAAAAAAATTCTAAAAGCTTCAGAACATTAAAAAGTAAAGGAAAAAAATCAATGAAAAAAGAAAAGATGCCATTGAAAAATTATACTTCTGTATCCACCTAATTATTAATTTAAACTGAGAACTGTTTCCATTCACATATGATGATGGGAATAAATAATTACAAACAAGCTGGAGACCATAAAAATAGAAAGATTACTCTATGGAATCTTGGATTCATTTTCTATTATGAAGAAAATCACAAGCGTGCTATTTTGACAGCTCATATTACAAGAATAAATACTCTTGAGCAGCACTTCAAAAATAATGATAGAAAAGTTGCTTTCATTTGGTCTTTCCCCCAAATTCGATACGTATGGATCAATTCCTATTAATTTTACAAATTAAATAAATTCCTAGGTTGAGACATTAGCCTGTAAGAGGATGGGAATGGGTAATGATGTTATTTGCATTATAAAGCAGCATCTTTGATAGAAAATTAGATGAAAGATGGTGTACAACAAACTTGATGGAACTGATGTTACTGAACTGTACATGTGGAAGATGCTGAATGAGTAAAGTTAGTACCTATACTTGTACTATCTGTTAGGTATTTTTGACAACATTTTTAGGGGGTGGGGTTTGGGGAGGTGCGGGGGGGGGATTGTGT